AAGAGAGGAAGGGGCAAGAGGAGACGTCCATCTGTTCTGCCTCCCAGTCCCAGGGAGAAGACCCTCATGCTACACTGGTCTTCCCGGGGCACCAAGCAGCCACATCGAACCACCCCTTCCATCCGGCCAGGCAGCTTGGAGCTAGGCACCTGGTCCCTGTGACACTTTAGTCTGGAAAGCAAGAATCTGGTCAATTCAGGCCCTTCCTCCTACCCTCATTTCAGTGATGGACACAGCAGGTGGGTCAAGCGCAGATGAGTGATGGGCAACAAATGTAGGAGTCTCCTTATGCCATTAAGTATCGCTAGAGGCCTTTGTCACCGTAGTACTCAGTAGTGACTAACAATTCTCATTTCAAATTCTTAAATCAGTAGGTGAAGATGTGTATTAAATAATGTGCCAAGGGGATCCCTGGGTGGCGCAGCGGTTTGGCGCCTGCCTTTGGCCCAGGGTGCGATCCTGGAGACCTGGGATCGAGTCCCACGTCGGGCTCCCGGTGCATGGAGCCTGCTTCTCCCTCTGCCTATGTCTCTGCCTCTCTCTCTCTCTGTGACTATCATAAATAAATAAAAAATTAAAAAAAATTAAATAATGTGCCAAATGTCATGGTCAGAATTTCTTGTAGAATGACAAATTTCCATGTAATTTTGAGCTTTGTGACCAACTGCATAGGAAGTTCGGTCATTTTGGTAGTGTCAAATTGCAAGAGAAATGTACCCAGAATAAAATGCTTACTTGTCCTCTCTGGAGTACCCACTCTTGGGACAGTCGGCCTCCAGAGTCACACAGCTGGAGAACTAATCAAACCCTCTGACACAACACTTGTAACAGGTTCTTCACAATTTCTTGGCATACACGCGTGTGTGTGTGTGTGTGTGTGTGTGTTTGTGTGTGTGTTTCCTTTGTAGCTTGTGCTGTGTGCAGTGAGCTGGGCTGGTCAGACCCTTTGGGCCCCTCAAGTCCAAGCTTTCATAGGCAACCCAAGAAGAGATGACATGACTCTGGAGAGAGACCAAGCAGGCTCAGCTAGGCTTGAGGTATAAGACCTGCTTCAGCCTTTGAGAAGCTCCACTAGGGCAAGGCCAATGGCAACGATTCTGCTTGGGGCACGGCAGAGCGTGTAAACCCTTCTAAAAGGGAATGGACACATGAGGACTTCAAAGGTACAGCCCTTTGTTTCCATCTCACTTCTAGGAATTCAACCAGAGGAGAGCTCTTCATGACTACAAAAAAAATACAAGCGTAAGAGAGCTGTCCCGTGTTGTTTTTGCTGGAAACCAATGATAAAAACCTAACTGTCCACCACTAGGGGATGGCATAGGGAAAAAAATGGGCCCATCGACGTGAAAGGACCTGTTTACTCTTTTAAATAGTGACTCTGTAGCCTTCTCACTGTGGATGCAGCCTGAGCAGACCCAAGTACATGGGCCGGCTCCTTCTGACCATCGAGGCCCTTGATGCCCAAGGAGGGACTGGCCTTCACACCTGTCTCTGTGCCCTCAGGCCGGGATGGTGACAACACTGCCAAGAGAATCACAGAACGCATGGTGGGGACCACAGCCATCCTTGCCTCTGTGGCAGTGGCTGCGTGTCATTCTCAAATGGAGGATTCAGGTCAGATTGCCTGCCTTTGACCTGACCATCTATCTAGTCCTGGCTTTGGCCTGCTCTCCCTGCAAGACCTCCAATAAGGTTCTCACGTCCAGGCTAGGCTTTGTGTGGGTGGAATGGACAATGCTCCGTAGCTGCCTTTGTCTGACCATGAAGCTCCTTCAGCCATGGAACCAACCAGAGTGATCATTATATTAGTAATAGCAAGGGCAGCTGCCCTCTCCTGAGCACTTTACATGGGTCCCCATGCACATTCAATCCCCCAGACATGTGGGTGGGGATGGAGCATGGGAAGGGGGGGGGTCTTCATCCTCCTCCTCCTCATGATCAGTCTCATGTCACAGAAAGGCAAACGAGCCTGAAGGGTGGAGCCCCTGCCCTGTCTCAAATTGGAAGCCAGGACGCCCCCACCATAGGCCTAAACAACAAAACCACATCACAGGAGCCAAAAAGTCATGGTGACATGAGAAGAGTGCAGGACACCATATGCCGACACCAGAGCTCTGGAGGCCAGAAGCAGGAACGGCTCAGCTGCTTTCCTGCAGCTCAGCAAAGTCTTCCCAATGGTACAACCATTGGTACAACCTGTGGCAGGCTGAGGTGAGCATGGGGTGATGGCCCAGGGTAGGAAGGGTCTTGATCAGAGAGAGATGAGCCCTGGCTGGGAGGTGATGGTCTAGTGAATAGCCCCGGGGAACTGCCTCCTCCCCTTCACTGCCACCCCTGAGCGAGGCTACCCCAAGATGGCACAATGAGCTTCCTCAGGGCCCCATGGCTCCTTTTGTCCCAAGAGCCCTGCTTATTCTGTCCCCTGCCCGCTCTACCTCCTTCCACCCCACCATGAGCCTTGCAGTATGGGTTCCAGGAGCACAACCATCCTCTCAGAATCCATCACCTAATGGCCTGGTGTGGGGGGCAAGAGCATCTCAGGCTTGTCACTGAGCAAGAGGGTGCCCCTCTAGACGTTAACTCCCCTGAAATCTGGGCTGCACTAGCCCAGGTAATGGTGTTCTATAGCAGAGAAGGCTGGGTGAAAGTAGCGGTGTTGGGGGGCACCTGCTGGAGGTAAGCACAGGTAAGTCTGGGCCGAAACGAGGGAAGGGCTGAGGGCACAGAAGATCCCAGGGCCTTGGCTCTTATGCAGAAGTGATGTAACACCAAAAACAGGGATGCTCCCCCCATCCGGGGTGTTGAAGGCCTTCCTTGGGCCACACACAGTGAGGACACAGAGGCTACCAGGTGGCCTAGTAGCCACGGGTTACCAAGATTTCCACAGGCCGGGCCTGCCCACAGAGCTGTGATGGGATCTGTTCACATACAGACAGCAGTAGGGGGAGCTCAGGGCTTCCAGAGCCAGGAACACAGCAAGCGCTCAGTAAGTGCTTGTCACCTGACTAGTATATAAAAATACATTGTTCACTCCAGCAGAAGAGGCAGACATGGAAACTGAGGCACAGGGGGGGCCAGGGACTTCTCTTACAAGGCCTAGGGCCAGCACCTCTGAATCTGTCCACTTTTGTCCACCCCACAGACACCCACCTGGACCCGGTTCCATCACCTCCCACTGGGACCCCTCCTGATAGTTCCTGATGGCATCCCTGCCACCACGACCCCCTCTGCACTCTCACCTATAGTCTGCACCCCACCCCCAGCAGCTGGGGGAATCTCAGAAGGAAGGGGAGCCCCCAACTAGCAGAGGGTCAGCTTGGGCCTCACCAAAGTGATGAATCACACAGAGAAGACAGAATGACCAAAACTCCCTCGTGTCCAGAGAGGATCCGAATGGGAGGACACAGTACTGCTTACTGTACAGGCCACTTGTAGGAAATGGGCCTGAGTCAGGAAGGAGCAAAGTCCCCTGGGCGGCCCCCCACCCCCCCACCCCCCCACCCGGGTTAATACAGGCAGGCCCAGCAGGCGACCCAGCAGTCACCCCTCGCAGTCCCTGCGCAGCACGGCTCCTTCTGCCCACGGAGCCTGTCCCTGCAATTTAATAAAACCACCTTGCTGCACCAAAGACGTCTCGAGAATCCTTTCTGGACTGTTTGCTCTGAACCCCATGTTTCCACACCCCCACCCACCACCTCTTTCCGCAGAAGGCCTCCCCTCTGCTGTCCCACCCACCGCTGCCCTGCGGTGCATTTAATCAACTTCTAGCTCTCTGAATTCTTTTACCTCCTGCGCCACTGAGCAGGAGGTAAAAGGGGTGGCCCATTGCCACCCCACATCCAGGGGACCCCCATTCCATCGGGAGACACACCACACCTACAAAATATCCTCGCCAAAAAACTCAAACCCGAATCTGCTTGCACTTCTAGATCTACCTACCAATTCAGAGGAAAGTCAGGGGAGCATGGGATAGCACCCCCCCACAGCCCCATCAAGGGAAACGCCATATATTTATTTCTTCAACAACAAATTCAAGTGAAAAATAAACAAGACAAAGAGAGCAAAATCTCTGAGATAAAGCAAAATCTCTAGAATAATGTGTGGATCTTACTTAGATTCTGGGAATGTGGGCAGCCCCTGAAAGCGCCGCCTTCAGCCCAGGCATGATCCTGGAGACCCAGGATTGAGTCCCCACTTCGGGCTCCCTGCATGGAGCCTGCTCCTCCCTCTGCCTATGTCTCTGCCTCTCTCTGTGTGTCTCTCATGAATAAATAAATAAAATCTTAAAAAAAAAAAAAAGATTCTGGGAATGTGAACACCTGCTGGGCTTTTGAGGATATTAAGGAAATCCTTGCTTGTCAGATTTGACCTTGGCCCTGTAGTTACACTGTTTGAAACCCTCTTTCAGGGGCCCCTGGATGGCTCAGCGGTTGAGCTACTGCCTTCCGCTCAGGTGGTGATCCCGGAGTCCCCAGATCGATTCCCCACATCAGGCTTCCCGCGGGGAGCCTGCTTCTCCCTCTGCCTGTGTCTCTGCCTCTCTCGGTATGTCTCTCATGAATAAATAAAATCTTTAAAAAAAAAAAGTATCTCTTTCAGGAATACATACTAAAAAAATCGAAAGGAAAAAAATACGTATTTGGAGTTTGGTTTACAATCACCATAGGTATGACTGGGGAGACAGACCTAACAGGATCACACCCTCCCTGGGATGGGCAGGTGGAACTCGACACCTTCAGGCTCATTTTGTTCCAAACTTTCCATAATAAAAGAGAGTCGTTGCTGCTGCCCCTCTGCTTTAAGGCTAAAACATCCCTGCCACAGGAGTGAAGGAAAGAAAGGAGGGTGGACCAGAGAACCCTCCCCTCACCACACTCCAGGCAGGGGACCAGGTCTAGGCTGAAGGATTCCCAACCATTCCCCTGCAAATCCAGGCTGCCTCCCTCCTCTTTCAAGCCTGCTTTTACACAGTTTTCAAACCTCAATTAAAAAACACACACCTCACACCCAGCTATGACAGGATTCAGGAGAGCCGGCCGCCAGCACCAGCCCACACGCTGCTGTGGATTGTCTGTAAAAGATAAGCACAGCATCGAAAGTCAGAGTTGAGAAACTTTTACAGTAATTCCACACAAAGCCTTTATGTCGGTTGGGTCTCCTGGCAAGGTAATGGGCTTCCAAAAGAGGAAAAAAAGATCACTGGTTGTGATCCTGGGGTTGCAGCCCCAAAGTGGTCACCCCTCTTGGTTTATTGAGGCCCTCTGGATCTCAGTTTCCTCATCTATAAAATGGAAACAGAGCCACCCCTTTCGTGGGTTTGTTAGGAGAGCAAAAGAAAGTCAGAGCCAAAAACACCCTTTGATAAATGAAAAGTGCCACCTGTCACATTCACAGCGTGGCTGCAGTCCTGTCCTTGCCCTACTCCCTACGTAGCTTCACTCACCCTGCCTCTCCTCCATCAAGTGTGACCCTGGCCAATAATATCACTGATAATAGAGTCATTCACATATCACTGATCAAAAAGTAGGTCACCAACCCTGCTCTGTGTGCCCAATAACCCTCCCGAGAGGACTGGAAGGCTGACAGCATCACCCCCCCCTTCCCCGTGTGCAGCGGGGGGCTCCGGAAGGACAGCATTCCCTGCCCCCTCCCTCTGTCTTTGGACTTGCTCTGGAGGCCCCGCAGGACAACGTATGCAAAGGCCTATGCAAGTGCCCCGGAGCTGGAGTTCACAGCCTGGTCCCGGTGGTGTGCTTTTCTGGGCTGGCCCCTCCTCATGGCATCAGAGCAGATGATTGCCCTGGGTGGCCCTGCTGGGGACAGCGGGGGGGGGGGGGGGGGGGGGGGGGCTTCCTGTCCCTGGCTGGGGGGCAGACACAGGGTCAGAGGAGTACCTGGGGCAGAGCTGCTCCCAACAGCCCCAAGTCCCAGCTCAGGTGGGAAGCAGCCAGAAACTACTGGCTCTTCAAGAGACAATGAGTGCACGTTGACCGGCCAGGGCCTTGATTAATATTTGCAAAAGGAGCAAAGTAGAGAATTCCATCTGGATTGAGGCGGGGCCTGGGGTATGTCAACAACCTCCATGGCCTTGTTCTCTCAGGGATGGCCCAGGAGGAGAAACAAAGGCCTGATAAAGGTGATAGAACCTGAGACTGTGACCCCATTTGAGTGGGGAGGAATTTCCTTACTCAGTCATTGAGGTATTATTATTATTTTTTTGCCCCGCCTTCCCTTCTCCCAGATTTACACAGCATCTTGAACTCCTTCAACTTCCTTCCTATCTCTTCAGTCTCCTAACAGCTCTGCCCACCCAGAAGAGTAGATGTCAGCCCCATTGATAATGAGGGACACTGAGGCTCCAAGACACCAAGAGCTTCACCCGAGGTCAGCAGCACAGCTGGGCAAACCCTGGAGTCTCACCTGCTGGCGGCAGCACAAAGCCTATCCCAGGAAGTCTGGGGTCAGGTGCCATGGGTATTAGACAGGGGGGTCTTCTGGGCTGCACTAGAGGCCCTGACCGTCACTCTACCAGAGGAGAAAAAGGAAGAAGCACAAACCAGCTCTCCCGGTTTGCTCATTTAAGCATTTAAAGGTGCCTCCTAAATCCCAGGACGTGAAGCCACACTGCATGGTGGCTCTTTGAGAACACCAGACCCAGCTGAATTCATGGCTGAGGAGGGGGAGGTCAGAGCACCTCCAAAGCTTGCTTCCCTCACAAGCTCAAGTCACTTCTTTGAGCTGATGCTACTTCACCATTTCCTCTGCCCCCTGGCACAGAGAAGGGGACGGAGCAAGAGACCACTGGTACTTAGTGGCCCTGACTCTGATTTAAAAACCACAATGTTACTGGGCTCAGGTATTCAAACAAATGGTGTCCCTTCTGGCAGGGCCCTCAAAGGCTGCATACTCTCATCAATGAGGACCTTTAAGGAAGGTCACTTTTTGGAATGACCTTCCAAGCCAGCGTGGAACCACCCAAGAAGACAGGCAGGCATCACTTGCCCACAGAGAAGACCAGCTGTGGCTGCAGGGTCCGCCCCTCCACACCTCACCCCGCAGTCCTGTCTGCAGAGCTGGCCATGGGCATCATCACAATCCGGGAGCCCCGGAGGGCCAGGGAAGGGTTGGCACTGTGCCCTCACACTCCCTTCCCAGGGGCCCCCCTTTCACCCCTCCTACCACATGCTCAGGGACTCCACTCCACACTCACTACCCCTTCACCTATCAGCTCCGTCCCCTGGAGAAAGAATTCTGCCTCTCCTCTTCTTAAAACCACCCCCACCCCACTCCCATCTCTGAACCCACTTCCTCCCATTCCCGTCTCTCTCCCTCTTGCCAAAGGCACCCCAGATTGCCAGTGACATAAGCCAGGCCAACCCCAACCTCTCTGCCCCATTTGATTCACAGCGGTGCTCCCTCACCACTGGATTTTCCCACTCCCTATATATGTCTGACTCACAAATCCCATCTCTAGGTCTCATGGCTTGTCCCCAAAACCCTCACACTCAGTCCCAAGCCCCCACAGCAAGGCCAGCTGGGGCACACAGCTGTACCTTGGAGCCTGGCCCATGAGGAGCCTCAGCTGTTCATCTAGAGAATGCATGTTGGTTAGCAGCTGCTCTCGCTGGTCTCGGAGGGGCTGGCCCTCTGTGCCTACACAGCCACCCGGGTGGCCTTTCTAAACCTTAAAACTGTCCCACCACCTAAAATTCTGCTGTCATTCCTAGGCACCCCGGGACAAGGTTCACAATCTCCACCTGGCCCCTGAAGTTGTCTCCATCAGCAATTTCACGGCAGGGCGGGCATATGTACCCTTGAACGCACCCTCCTCACATTCATCCCCAGTCCAAGAGCGCCCATCAGCCAGCACCTGTGTGTCATTCACCTTTGCACCCCAGTACTGGCACCCTGCAGATGTTTGCTGAGAAGACACAGAACGCTCAGGGCTGGAAATGGTCTCAGGGACCACAGGGCTCAAAGCAACTCAAGAGAGGTTGAGTAAGGGGCCCCAAGGTGAACCAGCCCCAGGCAGGGATGAGCTGACATCCCCACCTGAGCCATTCTCCCTGGTCAGGAACTGGGAGAACCAATCCTCTGGAAACGTCACCTGGAGCCCCACAGGTAGCCTGTCAGCCTCAGATGACCTTGAGGCTGGGTCTTAGAGTCCACGTCAGCCCCAAACCAAGCCCCGTAGGGCAGGCCGGCCTGGCCCGCACTAAGATCTCGGCAAAACCAGCTGTTTGACAAAGTCCACGTCTCCTGCCAGCTGACAGCTCCCTCCTAAGTCTCACCGCCTCTCTAGGCCTTGGTCTCCTCCTCTGCAGAATGGCCTACCTCGGCCTGCATGTTTAAGCGGCGTGAGCTGGTCACCCGGACCCCGTCCTCTGCCAACGGAGCGGGGCTGAGTCCCACGCTCTGCGATCCACTGGTGGCACCACTAAACTTTTGCTGACTTGTCCCCAGATCGCTGTCCCCAGGAGGGGCCCTGCAGCGGGCGTCAGGCCCCTCCAAGCCGCGGGGGCAGAGCCGCGCCGGGGCCCAGGGTGGGGGTCGGCTGGGGGGGCCGAGGGCGCGCCCCGGTTTGCTTTCCAGGCGGCGCGCAGGCTCCGGGCCCCGCCGGCCCGCCCACCCGCCCACCCGCGCGGCTGCGAGCCCCCGGCGACCCAGGCTTCCGCTTTCGGAGCCCCAAGCGTCGGTGTCAGACCTGGGTTTGTGCAATAAGCACACTCCAGGGAGGCTGCGGGCAGGGAGGCTCCTCCGGGGAGCCCGAGCAGGCCCACCCTCTGGTTCCGGGGTGGGGGGGCGCCCGCTGCGTCTGGTGGGGTGCAGCCCGGGGCTCCGGGGCTCCGGGTCGGGGTCGGGGTCGGGGCGGGCCCCGCGCGACTCACCCTGGGCGGCCGGGGGCGGCGCTCGCTGCGGCGGAGCTCGGGACGGCAGGCCCGGTGCGCTCCCTCCAACCGGGGCGGGCGCACGGGGCGCGCTCGGCGGGGAGGGCCGCGGCTGCGCGGGCGGGCCCGGGGCGCGTGTGCAGGCGAGCACCTGGCCCGCTGCCCGCACGTGCGCGGCGCCCGCAGGTGCTCCGCCCGCCAGATGCCCCAGGCGCTGGCCCCGGCCGGGCCCCGCGAGCCCCGGGCGCTCCCCGGCGCCCCCCGCCCCCGGGAGGGGTCCGCCCTCCGCCCCGGGCGGCGGCGCTGCGGGAGGCGGGGCCCCGAGGGATGGCCCCGAGGGATGGCCCCGAGGGATGGCCCCGGGGCGCCCAGATAAGAGCGCGCCGCGGGCGGGAGGCTGGCCCGGGCCCCGCGATGTCGCCCGCGCTGCTGAGCCTGGCCGCGCTGTGCTGGGGAGCCGCGTCCCCCGAGCCCGTAAGCACCCCCGCGCCCCTGCCCTGCGTCCCATCCCTGGAGCCCCGACCCTGCCCCTGCGGCCGTCGACCGCCCCGCACCCCCAGGCTCACGCGGGTTCGCGGAGGGCGGCTGGAAGGGCACGACCCGGGGGGGGGGGGGCAGCCGCCCTGGGGACCGGGGCATCCGGACCCGACCCCGCCAGTCATTCAGGCTCACTGAGGCCGGGCGTCCTCACCTCTGCAAAGGGGACAGTGAACCCAACTCAGCTCCCTTGGGCCTAGCGAGGAACAGCGGCAGGGCTGGCAAGGCAGCAGCAAAGAGCCAGGCACCTCGTAGGGGCTCAGTACTGTCACTCTGGCACTCTGGGGGTCTGCCCGACTCTGGGCACAGGCACTCTACCTCCAGTACCTCTGGCCTCGTTTGCCAGGTTGATTCCCGCCGGTTCGACGACCCTGGAGCAGGTAGTCTGGTGAACTCCCGCCTGCTTCCTTTCTTCCCCAGGTGCCTTCTTGAAGGATTGAGGGAATCTTCTGGGTGAAGAGAAATCTTTCGAAAAAGCCTTTGACGAGTGTGAAACTATAACCCTGCCCTCTTAGCATAGCATAGAGGATAAAACACAGTGGTTACTTGTTGATGGTTATGGAGAGATTAACCCCATTCGTGTGCCCTGATGTCTCCAGCTACTATACTATCCTTGTTGCTTTGCTTCTTCCTAAAACCTGTCTCACCAGCCCTTTGACAGGAACTCAGCTCCTACGATGCAGGCCTATTCAAAAAAATCATGATATTATTTGCAGTTCAGCTGTAAAAAGACAAAGATGAGGGACTAACAAACCCAGGTTACTTAAACCCGTCAAAAGTCTGGCCTTCTTTCTTACAAGATGTTTGGAAATGTTCAGGCTGAGTGGGATCGGACTGCAGACGGGTGGTCTCTGAGCGTATAGGGTCTTGTCACTGAAACTTGCTGCAGCCTAAAATTTAACTATTTTAGGTCCAGCATTTTATTACAAAATGAAAATACTAATTATTTTTTTTCCTTAAAAAAATATGAGCCATTACCTCCAAAGGATATAGTATTGGCCTTTCTTGAACACTTATCAGGGTCCACTTATCACACTGATAAGTGTCCAAGAAAGTATTTATTTTTTAAGAGCTCTTTTAAAAAGATAACATGAAATTACAGTGAGATCTTAGGTGAGTCCTTTTGTATCAGAGGAGGAATGTTTGAAAGACCCTGGAAAGGCACCATGGACTGCATTTACAGCTTCTGTTTATTGTCTTAGCACAGCTTAACCCTTCACCTGGGGAGATTCAGTAAGTACTCTGGATGGTCCTGAAAATCTGCAGTTGAACAGTGGAGTGTGAATGCGGGCACCTGGGTGGCTCAGGTCATGATCCCAGGGTGCTGGGAGCAAGTCCCATATCGGGCTCCCTGCTCCCTGGGGAATCAGCTTCTCCCTCTCCCTCTGCTGCTCCCTCTGCTCGTGCTCTCTCTCAAATACATAAATAACATCTTAAAAAGAAAACCATAATAGGGGGATCCCTGGGTGGCTCAGCGGTTTGGCACCTGCCTTTGGTCCAGGGCACGATCCTAGAGTCCCAGGATCGAGTCCCACATTGGGCTGCTGGCATGGAGCCTGCTCCTCCCTCTGCCTGTGTCTCTGCCTCTCTCTCTCTGTGTCTCTCATGAATAAATAAATTAAATCTTAGAAAGAAAGAAAGAAAAGAAAACCACAACAGAGTATGAAGCTGCCTTCATGATGGTCCAGAGTCACCCCTGCATGCAGCAGGGTTGGGGGCAGGCACAGAGAGGGGTAGAGACCTACCTCTAGTTTTTTTAAGTGAGCAGACTTGAGGATCAAGTATATGATAGCTAATCTCAGGTCCACCATAGCCCACAAACTGAAGTGGAACCAGCCCACCTATTCTCTGAAAGTTTGCCACTTGTATATGCATTTTAAGAAAAACAATGGTGTTTTGTCTAGTTGGCAAGTGAAGGTTTACTCTTTGCTAGCATTTAACATGATACTTTGTTTCTTTCTCTCTTGCAGACGATTCAGTGTGACTCTGAACCCGGTAGGTGTGCTAGGAAATGGGTATTTGGAGCTTTACACTGTCAGAACAGTTCTACTTTTGGGGGGCCCAAGTCCAGGCAGTGGGTCATTGGAGACCAGGGACAGGGCGAAACATCGCTTTGTTAGCTGATTTGGATGAAGCCGCTTCCTGGGAAGGCAGAGTTCCCAGCGTTTCAGATGCTTTGTCCTCCTGGCCAGGAAGAGGGGCAGAAGCCGGGCAGAGATCCTCTTTCAGCGTAGGAAGTGAGGCCTGCCCTCCTGGGGGACCAAGTGCTGTGACAGGGAGGCCCCTCATGGTGGAGAACAGGAAGCAAATGTTTTAGAGAAGGAGGGTTTGCGATGGTAAGGGTGGGCTGGAGGAGCGGTGGTGCCGGCAGGGACTAGGGGGCAGGAGGCGGGAGTTGTGCGGGCAGCAGGCGGGGTCCAGGCTGAGGCCTGGGGAAGGCAGAACTGACCTAACAAGCACGTCAGATGCTCACGCACCAGCGTATGGAGTGGTCCGAGGGCCCTTAGGTTTGGGGCCAGGCGGTTGGGCATGTCCTCCGCCACAAGTCGGCCGGCCCTAAGAAATGTCTGGCCTGGCCTGCCTTAGCCAGAAGAGATGGCTTGTGAATGATGGGTCACGGGGGGTCACCTGGAGGAGATGGCATTGGACTGGGCCAGGAGAAGAGCATCACAGGCAGTTTTGCCTCTTCCCAGGACCGTCTCCAGAGTGGATGGTCCGACACACTCTGACCCCGGGAGACTTGAGGGACCTCCAGGTGGAACCTGTTAAAAGCAGTGCTGCAATGGAGGACTATTCAATTTTGATGAATGTAAGCTGGAGACTCCGGGCAGATGGTAAGTTTGGTTCAAGCAATAAAGCCTGCAGTGTTTACTAAAGCAGCCAAGTACAGACTGTGTGACCCGTTAATTCCACCCCTGGCACACACCGGACAGAACAGATATAAAAGTGCACCAAAAACCACATACGTGATCCCCTCTTATCTACGGGTTTGCTTTCCATGGCGTCAGTTACCTGTGGTCAACCTCAGTGTGGAAGCAGGTGATCATTCTCCTGACGTATCTTCTGAAGGTCAGTAGGGGCCTAACACCGTATCATTGTATGATATATTCACCTTCATTCACCTTACTCCGCCTCATCACGTAGAAGGGCAGGTACAGTACAAGAGGTGCTTTCAGAGAGACCGCATTCACGTAACTTTTGTTACTATTGTTATAATCGTCCTATTTTATTATTAGTTATTGTTAATCTCTAGCTGTGCTTGATTTATAAGCTCAATCATACGTATGTATGTATAGGAAAAAAAGGTATGTATAAAGTTCAGTACTAGCCACAGTTTCAGGCATCCACTGAAGTCTGGCACAGAGAGGTGAGGCAGCCACAGTTTCCAGGCAGTAGGGTCCTGGTGTGTAGGGGAAGGTTGGGGAGGCACGCACAGGCACAAGGGCGCTGTGCTCAGTGTCAGGGGCGTCTGGAAAGGGGCTGTGCTCCATCTGGGTGGGATGGATGCAGGGGGAACAGGAGAAGGCCCTTTTAACATTTAAGTGGTGCAGTAAGGCAGTGGCCCCGTGCCTAGCACAGAGTGAGCACCTGCTTTTGTTAGCTGTTCTAGGGAAGCTGGTCCTTGAAGGAGTAGTGAGCCTTAGTGAGGCGGAGAGCACGTGGAGAGAAGGGATGCTCAGAACTGGCATGGTTTGGTGATGATGCTCGGGCGGTGGGGGGGGGGGCTGTCCCTCTTTAAAGACCCACAGAGTGCAGAGCTGGAGTCCCCTTTGCAGGATCCTGTGACACTGAGATTCGCCTGTGAAGAGAAAAGAGCTTGGGCTTCAGATTGAATCCATATGTACTGCTGAGGAGCTCCGTAAGCCTGGGTGGAGCTCCCCAATGTCCCCCAAGTCTTGCTCACTGCATCTGTACACAGGGGCCGACCATGGTGTCCAGTTTATGGGGCCATTGTGAATAGGAAGTGAGATGAGTCATGTACATGCTCCAGCATCACGCTGGCCTCGTGGTAGGTGCTAAACAGTTGCCCTCTTGCCTGTCTCTGCAGCCAGCATTCGCTTGTTGAAGGCCACCAAGATCTGTGTGACAGGCAAGGGCAACCACCAGTCCTACAGCTGCGTGAGGTGCAACTACACAGAGGCCTTCCAGACTCAAACCAGACCCTCTGGTGGCAGAGTGAGTGCACTGAGGCACCTGGGTGTTGTTAAAGCTAGCCCTTTTGCTTGGGGTGGGGGTGCAGGGGTTGGGGTGAGGGACTGGGGGTGATGTGCCAGGCACCTAGGCTGCTGAGCAGGATGCCTGGCCACTTCTAGCCTGTGTGCCTTGGGCAAGTCAGTAGCTCTGGGCCTCAGTTTCCCCATCAGCAAAGAGAGGGGGGAGCTGAACTGAAATTCTATCCTGGCTCTAAAGGTTTACACTTCTCCCATTCTGTGGCTTACCCTGGCAGATTGCGTGGCCTACATTCCTGTAGTGGACAGTTATAAATGAAAAGGGCAGTACACAAAGGTCTATATTTCTGCCCTGCAGTGTTTTAGAGATTCAGGGGTTCTTTGCCTTGCCTTTCAGTGGACGTTTTCCTACATAGGCTTTCCTGTAGAGCCCAACACACTCTACTTCATTGGAGCCCACAATATCCCCAACGCAAATATGAATGAAGACCCCCCTTCCATGTCTGTGAACTTCACCTCAGCAGGTAAACTCTTCTCAGTCCTCTGTCATCCTGTCTTGCTGGGATGCTTGCTGCGGGGCATGTGCTTTGGTCCAGAGAAGCTGGAGTGCCCTGGACAAGGCATTTGGCCTCGCTGAGTCTGCTTTCCTCCTGTGTGACACAGATGTAGTAACCCTAGGCTGGATCACCCGTTCGGTACGCCAGTCCTGTCCTCTGTCTCTGGCGAAGCATCCAATCCAAATGGGGCCATTGTCCAATTGCTTGCTGTGCTTTGAGCTTGTGGTCCAGGGTGTTCCAGCTTTCTCCATGAGACCAACCTCATTTTGAAAAATAGAAATGTCTTTCTTTGGAATAAATTCGCAAAGATAATACAAAGAATTGTGTAGATGTCCCAAGAATTCCCATAGGGCTCTCACCCAGTGTCCCTCATCATTAACCTGTGACATCACCGTGGTATATTTATTAAAACTAAGAAACCAACATCGGTACATTTCTATTAACTATACTGCAGACTTGATTGGGATGTTGCCTGCTTTTCCATGAATGCCCGCTTTCTGTTCCAGACACATTTAGTCCTCGTGTCTCCTGTGTCCCCTGGTCTGTCACAGGCTTCGAGTCTTTCTTTGTTCTTCATGACCGTCTGGAGTGCTGGCTAGGCATCTTGCAGAATGTCTAGTCTGGGTTTGTCTGATGTTCATCTCATGATTAGCCTGGGGATGTGTGTTTCTGGAGAGATACTGCAGAGGTAGAGTGTCCTCCCTGCCAGCGGGGGTGGATGACATCCACATGATCGCACTGGTATCTGCCAGCTATCTCCATTGTAAATCTACTGACTCTCCGTTTCTCTACTCTAGTTTTTGAAGGCAAGTGACTTAATCTGCGTCACTCTGGGGTACGGCTGTGGAGAAGGGGCAGTATTTACATATATTATCAAACCTCATTTTCAAAGGTTTGAGTCTCCTAGGGATCACAGATGCTATTCTGATAAAGATTGTATTTAAATTAGACTCTGGTTATCACTTCATGCGTAATCTTCTGTTTAACAGTCAAATGTTAGGTTCCATTTAAGTTTGCTATCTTACCTCACATCTTCAGTGTTCTGGCAATTTGTTACAAGTGTGGTAATCCTATGCTGTGTGTGCTTGTTGGCAAGGGATTGGAGCAGAGATACCTTTTTCTAAAACGTAAAAACTTTCCTCCCCATCTCCAGGCTGCCTAGACCACATAATGAAATACAAAAAAAAGTGCATCGAGGCAGGTAAGTAAACACAGTGTTTGCTTTTGTTATTAGAAGAAACTGGATCCAATATGGCTCAGTCCGTCTCCCATGAAGAAACTGAGGCCCAGAGCAGAGGAGTTATGTGTCCAAGTTGCACAAAGAGGGCTGATCCCAGCACTGTGCCCGCTGAATCAAGCAGCCTGTCCAGAGAAGGACTGACCCTGAGTAGATTTAGGTAGTGAGCAACAGTCACAGAAAAACACCCACTACCTTGGGTGAAATGAACATTTCTGTCCACACTGCACTTTTGGTGGTGCTGATAGAAGGCCCCTCCTGACCGGAGGGGAGTCTCTAAGTCCTTTCACCTGCTCAGACAGCAGTACCACTGACCTCTGGCCATGGGGGCCCTGTGAACTTCCGTTTGGATTAGCAAATATTCAAAGTGGAAGTGTTAGCTCTAAGTGACCTAGATGTATATTCTCAACCTGTGTCATCAATGGGGTTCACCTCTCACATGCCAGACTACTAGAACCTGCCACTAGTCCCTTCAGGATCATCAGTCCCAAATGTCCACTTTCCAAGGATTTGGAAAGGGTGTGTGTAAATTTCTGGGAAATATGGTCTTATGATGCTAATGAGGCTAGAGCTTTGTACTTTCTCTCTTGCCTCCCCACGAGAGATCTGGACTATGGAGGGCACGGTGGGTGTGAGGAGCTCTGAGGGACTTCAATCAGTCCTAAACCTCCACTCCTAAAGACAGCTCTGAGCTAGCGCATGAAATGCTCTCCCAGGTGGGGAAAACAATGCACGCTATCATCTCCCGTGTTCCTGGAAATAAACCTGGGTGCTGATTTGCAAGTCACAACCATCATCTGACTTTTTCTCATAGAGTAGGCCTCTCAGAGTATCTGCTAAGCGTTGAGGCATTTCCTTGTTCCTTCACATCCATTAAAGCCAGAATGGTCTCCTGGGACTCAGAATGTTCTAGTAGCTGTAGTCCTGATTCTGAATTCACTTGCTCTGTAATCTTAGACATGTCTTCTGGCTCAAAATGGATGTTGAGAATAGGAGGGAGCACTAGAACCCCATCTGTACCTCCCACACCCCCAGCCCAGGGAAGTTACTTTGGCAAAGCAGAGACATGGGGCTCCTAAACATTCTTGGGCAGCAGGTACCAAAGATTAATAGAAAATAAACTGCAGTGGAGCCCGAATCTCTTGGATGCATGTATGCCTGAGGACTTAGACTTGTTTTGGTCAAGGCCTTTGGGGGACTTAAATGAGGGACAGTTTGCAACTCCATCAATGTGATTCTCTCTTGACTCAGGAAGTCTGTGGGATCCAGACATCACTGCTTGTAAGAAGAACGAGACGACGGTAGAAGTGAATTTTACAACCAGCCCCCTTGGAAACAAATACATGGCTCTCATCCAAAATAACATTGTAATTGGCTTTTCTTACATGCTGGAGGTACTTCTTCATTTCCTACCACCACCTCCATCCTCAGCCTCCAGCCTTCCTCACCTTCTTGACAAAAAACATAGACGCTCTAGGATTCCTCAGACAAGCCCTCAATTTTTTTTTTTAATAAATTAATTTTTATTGGTGTTCAATTTACCAACATACAGAATAACACCCAGTGCTCATCCCGTCAAGTGTCCCCCTCCGTGCCCGTCACCCATTCACCCCCACCCCCGCCCTCCTCCCCTTCCACCACCCCTAGTTCATTTCCCAGAGTTAGAAGTCTTTATGTTCTGTGTCCCTTTCTGATATCTCCCACACATTTCTTCTCCCTTCCCTTATATTCCCCTTCACTATTATTCATATTCCCCAAATAAGTGAGAACATACACTGTTTGTCCTTCTCCGATTGACTTACTTCACTCAGCATAATACCCTCCAGTTCCATCCACGTTGAAGCAAATGGTGGGTATTTGTCGTTTCTAATGGCTGAGTAATATTCCACTGTATACATAAACCACATCTTCTTTATCCATTCATCTTTCGATGGGCACCGAGGCTCCTTCCACAGTTTGGCTATTGTGGACATAAGCCCTCAATTTTAACAGAGCGCAGGGACTGTCCGTTGTCCAAATGTCCTGAGCTATTTTGATTCATTCAGCAGAGAAAGACAAGTCCCTGGGACATCCCTGGAAATGTCCCTGAGAATCTAACACCAACAAAAAGTAGATATTTCAGAAACGAATGCTTGTTCACACAGAGTCTAGTGAATTGAGGGTCAGTTTGGGAAAGGCAGTTTCTCCACTGGCTGTATGGCTATGTGTGTGTTGTCCTCACTCGGACGGCTCACGATTCTCGATTTTTGTCTCACTTAACCTGCACCAGAACCAACCCCCAACTCGAGCTTCGGTGGTGATCCCAGTAACCGGGGAAAGTGAAGGTGCTGTGGTCCAGGTAAGGTTCCACGGGGGGGGGGGGGGGGGTTGGGGGCAGGCAGGGGCACATGGAAAGGGCTGGTTCACGTTACCGCTTCCGTGTGCTCCCTCCCCCGCAAAGTCCTGTTACAGAGGCCAGGGCAGGAGGCTGACCTCAGGGTCATGAGCCCTTTTGCTTTTATTTTTTAATGTTTTTTATTCATTTATTTTAAAGATTTTATTTATTTATTCATGAGAGACAGAGAGGGAGAGAGGCAGAGACACAGGCAGAGGGAGAAGCAGGCTCCATGCAGGGAGCTTGATGTGGGACTCGATCCCGGGTCTCCAGGATCATGCCCTGGGCCGAAGGTGGTGCTAAACCGCCAAGCCATCCCCTATTTTTTTAATGTTTTTTAAAAAATATTTTGAGAGAGAGAGAGAGAGAGAACAAGCAGAGTGGCAGGCAGAGGGAGAGGGTGAAGCAGGCTCCCTGCTGAGCAAGGAGCCCAACCTGGGGCTCAATTCCAGGACCCTGGGATCATGACCGAAGCTGAAGGTGATGTTGTTTTTTTTTTTTTTTTAAAGATTTTTTTTAATTTACTCATGAGAGATGCAGAGAAAGAGGCAGAGACACAGGCAGAGGGAGAAGCAGGCTCCCCACAGGGAAACCAATGCGGGACTCGATCCCAGACCCGGGGATCACGCCCTGAGCCAAAGGCAGATGCTCAACTGCTGAGCCACCCAGGCACCCGCCCTTTTACTCTTATTCATGGCTGTTGACTTTCCATTTTTAGTCACAGAGCCTCAGAGTAATTCTGAGACAGGAGTACCATTTAATTCTCCCAACTGCAAAATGAAGCAACAAAGGATTTGAAATCAGGTTTGGGTTGTGATCGGTGTACCAACTTTGAAGGGCCAGCTGCCTGTCCTCTCAGGGCCACCACTGACTCAGCTGGAAAACAGGAAGTTGGATCAGAGATGCTCTCGGGTCTCTTTCAGTTCATGATGTGGGGACAGGAGAGTCGTGGTGGGACACAGCCGTGCCCGAGATACAAGCTTTTGTTTCTTATTCCCTGGAACATAAAGGCAGTACTCAGACATGCCAGAGGGAGCAGATACCTGTCAGCATCCCGGGCCGTACCCCTTTTCCAGGGAATTAGGCTTTTCTATTCCCAGGGGACCTATCTGTCAATAGCTCTACTGCTCTGGGTTTTTTTTTAGAGGAAATATTTGTATATGTATGGGATGTGACCTAACCCTTTTAGATAAGGAAACCAACATGTTAGCAACATGTACAAAGTTTAGGCTCACAATTCAGGAGTCAGAAGGTGTTTGGTCTTGAGTCATTGTTTTTTTTTTTTTTTTTTTTTTTTTTTTTTTTTTAAGATTTATTTATTCATGACAGACCAAGAGAGAGGCAGAGACACAGGCAGAGGGAGAAGCAGGCTCCCTGTAGGGAGCCCGATGTGGGATTCGATCCCTGGACCTGGGATCACGCCCTGAGCCGAAGGCAGATGCTCAACCACTGAGCCACCCAAGCATCCCTGGTTTGGGTTTTAAGGCTTTTTTATGAAAGTGTGACCAAGGGAAAAAATGTCCTCTTACAATGTTGGGGGTGGGGGTGCAGCTCAAGCCAGAAGAGAAAGGGTAGAGGCGTTTTCGGTGGAAGTAGGCATTCTGCTCAGGTCTTGCTCTGAAGCATGATGGTAATTTGCTGAGCCTCCTGTTTTTCCCTCAGCTGACTCCGTATTTCCATACTTGTGGCAATGACTGCATCCGACGCAAAGGGACAGTTGTGCTTTGCCCACAAACAGGTATCTCTCTCTCTCTTTCCCCCTGGATAGTCGTAAGTGCCCAGCCATTTCCACCGGGTCATCAGAGAGGTTCAGTGCCTCAGGGGCCCACTGGCCACCCCACTCAGCATGTGCCAGGGCGCGTGCCTGTCCTGCGTGAGAGTGAGAGCTGGGGTGCCAGAGGGCCCGTCACCTGAGAATGAAGGCTTTATTTAGGAATTCACTGCAAGATCCTTTATAAAACAGGATACACACATGAAGTGGGGAAAAATAAACAGTGCAAAATGGATGTGGAGAGCACTACAAGGACTAGCTGGGAAGTCAGTGGTGTTAGAGGACTGAGTATGTAAGGTGCATGTCACTGCAACTCTGATCTTCTGACCAGTCTCAGTGGCCCTGGCCTGTTACTGTACCTTGGTGTGGTCACACAGCCTACATTTGGATAACAAATTAGGAATACTGGCCCCAAAAGACACGCCTCACTGGTGCCTGAGAGCAGCATATTTGGGAAAACGTCTCTGGATTCGGAGATGTTAGTTCTCTCATTACAGGTAAACAAAATGTTCCCAGAACTAGCTTGAGGTGGAGTCAAAAGTTAGAAAGTGTTCTTAGAAACTCAGCTGAACAAACTGACAACCCAGGTGCCTGATAATGCTGACTTCTGTGTGGGCACAGTGCCTATGGGTTTCTGAGCTTACCTGACCGACATTCCTGTGTGTGGGGGGTAGCATTACCCCCCCCCCCCGTTTGCCAGTCTAACAAAACAGCCTTTAAAAATGGCATCTGTGTATACTATTAAGTAACCATGCGCAGAATAACCTCAATTCATCACAACAAAAAAACTGAATACAAACTCTGGTTACCACAGTGATAACGCCTTCATATATGTGGAGTAAGACGTCCAAGCAAATTTGGGGGAATTTCTTTCTTTGGGGGGGGGGGACTTTCTTAACCTCTTGGGTCCCTTATCCCTTCTGACAATCTAATGAGTGGCCTGGACACTGAGGAAGAATGCACCAATCTGCAGACACCCTAGCGATATTGTTTTGTTTTAAAGATTTTATTTATTCACGAGAGACACACAGAAAAAGGCAGAGACATGAGAAGAGGGAAAAGCAGGCTCCCCATGGAGAGCCTGACTCGGAACTAGATCCCAGAACTCCAGGATCATGCCCTGAGCTGAAGGCAGATGCTCAACCACCAAGCCACCCAGGCATCCCTAGACTGTTGGTTTTATAGGAATCTAACCTATATAGAGTGAAAATCTTAGTTTCCAAATAGAAGATAAATATGGTTTTGCTGAAGGTAAATAAACTTTGTTTTCTCCAGGCAGAAGCATATTGGGTGGCTGGCTGCCTCTCTTCCTCTCAGCTCTGCTAGTAGCCACATGGGTGCTGGTGGTTGTGATCTATCTAATGTGGAAGCATGGTAAGTGTTACAATTCAGTTCTTTAAAACAACCCAAATGTGAATTTTTTTTTTTTTTTTTAAAGAGGATTCTTCTTGAGGCAATCACATTTTGGTGTTACGACAAGAGTCAGGTAGCACTGATGTAACACCATAGACCTTTCCAAAAATACCCATCAGTACCCAAGTACTGATGACCGGGTCACATTTGCCAAGGCAGAGCAGGGATGAGGACCTCAATCTGGTCACTACCACAGGTTTATCTTTTATCATGAGGCATCTAAAAGGACAGCAATAAGCAAAAGATAGCTAATAACAAATTGCATTTTGTCTGTAATAGGTACTCCAAGCTAGTTCCTTTTTTTTTTTTTTTTAAGATTTATTTATTTATTCATGAGAGACAGACAGAGAGAGAGGCAGAGACACAGGTAGAGGGAGAAGCAGGCTCCTCACAGGGAGCCCGATGCGGGACTTGATCCCGGATCCCGGGATCACGATTTGAGCCGAAGGCAGGCGCCCAACCACTGAGCCACCCAGGCGTGCCTAGTTCCTACTTTTTAAAAACAATTCTTCCATGCATAAGAACACCACACACTTGAATCCATATATTTGAGACCTTGCCAACACTCAGACACTAAGGATTTGAATATAGAAACCAGAGAGTATTTATACAGATACCTGAAAACTTCTGCTTCTCTTCACATGGAGCCAAATCTAAACGTAGCCTCTGAGTTATTTGTGATGTTGTGCCTAGAACAAGGTTACTCTCATAACCTTAGTACGGAAGCCATGTGGAACGCTGACCTTGGGAATACTTCTATTCAGGGAATATGGTTGGCCTGTTATTAAGTTATAGTACGTTCACATATAGTTTCTGTTCTTAGAGCACATAAACAATTCCAGTTCAGTTCCAGCTGAAATGGGCTACCAGCTAGCCTTATGCAAACCACAAAGAAACTTTACCACCTGCAGATAGAAGATGGACCAGTTACCGAGTAGACGTAACTCAAAATGTGATGTGAAGGACAGGTCAGGTGACCCTGGCCCTGTTTATATAGGACACTAAGAATAGTACAGTTACACCACCTACCTAAAACAAAGTACCTCAAACTGAAAAGATATGGCTTAAGAGGACTGATTTAGTGATCGGGACTTGGAAAATACATCTTTTAAAGCATCTTTAAGGTCTAAACATCAGTATCTTTCAGGCGATACATTCAAAATGAACAGTGGGGATATTTCCTCTCTGGCAGTAACAATGTCCTTGGTGCTCCACCAGCATCCCCTGGCAAGGGATCACTTTTTAATAGTGGTTCAGACCAGAGTGAAAGCCTACTGTTTGTGGCTCACAGAGAACAAATGCTTTCTCTCCCCACAGAAAGGACCAAGAAGGCTTCCTTCCCTACTACCACGCTACTGCCCCTCATTAAGGTTCTTGTGGTCTACCCATCTGAAATATGTTTCCATCACACAGTTTGTTACTTCACTGAATTTCTTCAAAATCATTGCAGAAGTGAGGTTATCCTTGAAGAATGGCAGAAAAAGAAAATAGCTGAGATGGGTCCAGTGCAGTGGCTTACCACTCAGAAGAAAGCAGTTGATAAAGTCATCTTCCTTCTTTCCAATGATGTCAGCTCCAGTTGTGATAACACCTGTGGCCAGAGGGAGGGCAGCCTGCATGAGAGCTCCCAAGACCTATTCCCCCTGGCCTTTAACCTCTTCTGCAGCGATCTGAGAAGCCAGACTCCTCTTAACAAATACATGGTAGTCTATTTTAGGGATGCTGATACCAAAGACGAATACAGTGCGCTCAGTGTCTGCCCCAAGTACCACCTCATGAAGGATGCTGCTGCTTTCTGTACAGAACTCCACGTCAAGCAGCCAGTGTCAGGAGGAAAGAGACTGACGGCCTGTTTCCTATAGCCCACCCATGAGAAATGAGGGGCCTTGAAGCCTTCTTACCCACAGGGGGAAAGTATCTCAGATGATTCTGAAGGTTCCTGTATGGGCTACATGCAGGAAATATTTTATATACACCTGCTTTATGTAGCAAGAAAAATAGGATTCAAAACAATACATATGCCTTAGTTTAATTAGAACTTTTATGCCAACGAAACTGTTACAAATACTAACTACTGTTGCATTAACTGAAGGACAGAAACTAAATTTATAAAGCTAAATCAACTTCATACCTAAAAGTCAAGGAGACTTAAAATGCAGAACTAAAACCACTGATAACAACAAAGCATCTTCCAGGAGAACATCCAGTCTTGAATAGCCCACGCACTGCACTGTAAGCAAAATTATTTATTTCTGTGACATTCTGAACTTGTTAGTGAATACCAAATTTAAGAAAACCTCTGCTCCTTCACTAGTAACTTCATAGGCAAAAAACCCTCTATTATATACAAAAGCTATTTTAAAGAAAACAGAATAAGTAATAACAAGCTGAACTCCTCTTTGCTGACCAGATGATGTAGTATATGTATAGCCATTTGTATTATCTGGCACTTGCATAGGACCTTCCTGCCCTGAACTAGATTCATGTCCTATCTGATTCTTGTACAGGTGACTTTTAACATGAATACCAACATCCATTACCTGCAGACCTAATGTCTACTTTGGCCCAGTTATCTTTAAGAGGTTATTGTAAGTGTTCAGAGTTTCTTGGTGAATATGTAACTTTTCCTGTTCAAAACACAATTCCTGCTCCTTCAAAAGTCAGCCCTCTTGAAATAATTAGGCTTTTTATAAATGGAATTATAATGGTTTGCCTGAATAAAAAATTACCAAGAGCTAGAAATGTATGGTATTTAAAGTCTCCCAACTTCTTTTTATAAAAGAATCTTTTTTTTAACGCAGAGATTACCAAGAGGCCATTTATATTAGCACACAATTTTTCTAGGAATGCTTGTCTCTCTCACACAGTGCAATACTGAATCTGCCCTAGAATGGGGATCAGCTTTTGGTGGATAACTTTTAAAATGTATTTGTGAAGTGTTAAAGCTAACCTTAAAGGGACAGGTGTTACAGATAAAATAAAAACCAAAATAAGGAAGCACAGAATGAAAACTCACCATGTCCAACTTCACAAGCAGACACTTGGTAATGGTGAGGCAATATGTTTAATGTGGTTAAACTCACCTACTTGTCATGAACAGTTTTCAAGGCGCTTTTAAGTGCTAGTAACAAAAGACGGACAAAGCTTATGTCAAAACTTGGACCAGAAACCAACTTCCTCTGAATCAGTATCTACCAGTTATAAGGGTAATAGGTTACTATGTAAAAAACCAATTATACACAAAATACATTTTGCTTTTGGAACTAGGTAGACATTAATAAATTGGGGTGAAACAGTGCAGAAAAATAAAATCAATATTGTATAAATTTATTTTGTTAAAATTTTTAAAAAATAAAGAGTACACAATCTTAAGATTTAAGGCACATATCTTCAATAATACCAAACAAGGTAAAAATCATTGTTCCTCACCTGAGCAGGTATTTAGAATATTCCTTGTTATGCAAAATGTTCTAGGACCAGTATTTCTTCAGGCGCTGAGATTTCTAACCATCCTACTCTTTCTATATTGTACTTTTACCCTCCACCTCTTAATCTCTTATCTCTACCTTTGTCTCTCACCTCCCTCATCCGAGTCTCACTCCCATCTCCAGTTCTGGATAAGCAGATGGTGGAAGCAGACTCCCAGCAGGGAGTGGCAGGAATCAGGCAATTTCCCAGGTCTCTTCTGTCTCCACACAGTACTTTCTTTTCCTCTGGCCAGGGGCTTGGAAGGCTTCCCCAAGGCCTGGACCGCTGGTGCTAATACCGGTTTATATTTAGATTTTGCTTCAGATGGTTCAGATTCAGGTCAAATGATCATACCAAGCATAAAGAGTTCTGAAACCTTTCTCTTAGTTCCTTTAAGGAAAACTGGGGGCTTGATGATTAAATTAGTAGTGATTAGAGCAGTCACCTTTACTTATCGGTACAACACAAGTTAACTCTACATTACACCTGAGTTGTTTCTATTGGGCTTGAAGAAGGAAACAAGTTTTCAGTTTTTGTTCTGTTTTGGCCAGATAAGGACTGTTTTCTTTCCCTAAGCCTACCCTGAAGCATGTGAGTAACAAAAGCCAACCAGCCCAGCCTTAAATCTTTGCCTCTGGAAATCCAGAGCTCAACTGGTCAGTCTTTTTTATAATCCAACAGAAAAAGAAAAGAAGAACATTTTTTTTCCCTATTTGGAATTCTAAGACCACACGAGTCCCAACATGTGTGCCTGCTGTAACACGAGGGAAATGGCATGACCACACAGCTGTAAGGAGTCAAGTACCCAAGTCACGCTCCCACCCTCTGTGGATGCTTGAGATTGTCTGATGACACTGAGGTCAACTTAAGCCCAGGCGTGCACATGAGACAACAGCAACAATTCACATCATCAGGGAGCTCCTGCGATCCTGAGAAAGGGGCAGAATTTACCACTGAAGAGTAAGTTCATATTTATTAAGTATCCTGACTACAAAAGCAGCTTATAATTTCACACCAATGTCCTGCTGTCAACATAAGTTAAAATTCATTTATTTTCCATGAAACTTAAGCATCTGAGTCAATAAATTAAAATATACATATTTTTAAGAGTCTTTTATACCAGGAGGCCTGTTTTTGGTCTTCAATAGGGACTTTCTGCCTGTTTTCACCATACAAAAGCAGCTCGCTCTCGTAACATGCGGACACCAAAGCGCTGCCATTCTCTCTGATAAATCCATAGTTCCTGTGTTGTGTCCAAACAAGCCAACACAGCCCCTCCTTTCCATGCAATCAGCCGGGGATCCATGTCCTAGGGAAGTGATAAAGATATTTCAGCAAAAGCAGGTAAGACGTATAATCATTTCCTTAATTTGGGGTAGAAAAAACCTGCTGAGTCAATACCTAAAAAGCCAGATTTTCAACCTGCATTAAAGACTCATCTATACAAAGGACCCATTAACTACAGACATCTTTCTGTTCCAACTGATGAGAAAACTTTAGTGTTTATTACTGAAGATGCTACCATTCAATACTATTACTTTACAAATAGGCCCCATACTCAAGGAACATACGTAAGGAAATCATTATTCTGAAGTTAGAGTAGAATAAATGTATGCCATAATCCCTCCCACAGGATTAAAAATAAATAAGAACATTCCCAGGAATTGTTCGTGGGATATAATGAAATACAGACACCATCTCTTTCTAAATTCCAGGGTTTATGTTTCTTTCCAAGACAGTTCAAGCCAAAAGGATCTGTAAAGATGCCCTGGTCCATAGACCAGCAGCAGATCTTAAATATGAAAGCAAAAACTGAAGCTGTTCTGGCCAATGTGAGACCAGCCTGTCCCTTTAGAGGCATAGCTTTTGGAGAGGAGAGCTGGGACTAACACCCAGAAAGCCAGGCCCCTAGCCAAAAGCTCCCTGCACCAAATCTGTGACCCACTGAAATTCTTCTACTTGCCCAAGCCCTTAATTAAGAGCAGCCCAGACACAAACTCATGCATCCCAGCATTTTATCTGTCCACATACATTACAATTAGAATCAGTCCTGATTTCATTTGTATGCAAGCCAACTGTACCAACAACAGACCTTGGGCCTTGTGATCACATCCACATTCTCAATAATTCGTCTGAATGAAGGTGGCATTTTGTTGAGAATTCTGTGCTGCAGAAATTCTTGAGCTTTATGAAACATCAAACCACCTCCCACCACCAGGATGGAACTGTACATCTTCTTTTTGGTATCATCAGATGCTGAAAAGACAATGATATTCCTTCCACTCTTTTTCTCCATATCCACCACCCTGGGCCAAGCCACCGCCATCTCGTTTGGATAATTCTAAAAGCCTCCTCAAAGGTTTCTCTCCAACCCATCAACAATGCAGACAGAAGAATCTTGCAAAACACCAACATGAACATGTTGTTACCATACTTTCTACCTGCAGGATTAAGACCAAAATCTCTACAGGGACCTACAAAGTTCAATACGGTGTGTATTCACTGCTTCTCTAGCTTCATCCTGGCACCCAGTGTCCCCAGCCATACTAATCTCCACACAGGCATCTTCCTCTGCCCAGAATGCCATCCTGACAGGCTAACCCCCACTCACCTCCTAAATCTCTCTTAAGTGGCTCTTTCCCAAGAAAGGTTTCCCTGCCTCCCATCCTCCACACTTCTTCCTCCTATTAAAAATCCCTTATTAAATCCCTCAATCAGAAGCTCTGAAAGTCAGTATCCTTTAGTTAGTTCACCTTTGTAGCACCTGCCATAGTTGTGGTTTCCCATTTGTGTGACAATTTAACTTTTTTGGTCTCCTCTACTAGGCTATGTGCCCAATGAGACCAGGAACCAATTTCTAATATCAGACAACACAAGGGCAAAGCAGGTGCTCCAGTTTTTCAATGCATATGTTATGCTGCATACCCACAGTCTAGCTTTAACACATTCAATAACTGCTACTGGCCCCTGAAACATGCTTACAACAGCAGTCTATGCTGTGAAGAATGGCTTTATCCAGGCCCAGGGCTTTCCCTTCAAACAGAGAGATGGCAGTCTTCCTGGACATCAGTGCTGTGAGAGCCTCCTCGGATTCATTGCCAGCCATCAAACAGTCTCCTTGGGAGGATCCCAAATCCACCTCCTGGGCATGGAGTCTTTCTGGAAGATCAGAAGACTGGCCACGAAGTTCCCCTTCAAATCCAATGGGTTTGGATGCAGACTTTCGGTCAGCAGTAGCTTTGGCAGACTAAATCAATTAAAAGGACAATCAAGTAGATGGTAGGACTATAACAGATGTTCTCCAGCTAGACCCCACTCCTCCCTACTGCGCTATTTTATAGTGCTTTACACTACTATAAAGCAAAGGTGCATTACTGTGGTGCAGAAGGAATACATGCTAGTATATAGCCAACCACTTGGACCCTCTCCCGGATCACCTGGGAGTGAGACATGGTGTACAAAAGATGAGGATGTGCAGACAATCCCAAAGCAGTCACTGGCAGGCAGAGCAAATCTCACGACCTTATTATTATCACGACTGGTTGGATTTTAAAATTGAAAATGTCGGCATACACAGACTTTTCCTGCTTGAATGGAGTTTTTAAGTGGAGTTCAGTAGGATTCTTGTGCCTGTGGCTATTCTGAAATCCTCATTTTCAGACCCTACCTAACCACCTCATGATCAGGGACAAGGACTAGAACAGGTTTAGAGCCCTCCTTTCTCCATCATGAGCTGCTGTTTCACTGGCAGATAAGAGCTTTACTTTGTGCCCTTATATCAAATATCCTATTACTGGGATAATCAGCTCTGGACAAAAGAATTCAGCTTTCTGCCTAGACCTCATACCATTTACATTACATTATGATTTTAAAAACAGGTCAGATTTTACTGAAAATATTCCCTACTGAATAAATATTCAAAAGAAAATACCGTATACACCAAAAGGAAGTATCTTCATTAAACTTTTAAACCTGTGGACTGGCATTCTGAAAATCAGATTATTGAATGAATGAAGAAATCTGTCATCTGGATTTTAAATTTAGACTTCATTTCATCTACAGTCCTAAAAACAGTATCAGCTTTAGTATGCAGTCAGATTCTAGCGACTGCAATGATCTATTAATGATGGGCAAACTTATCCTGCAGGGACAATGCTATCTCCTCACACACCAGAATCACTGCGGACCTGTTCTTGCTTGCTCTGTGTGGCTAGCAGGTAATGCTCATCATGAGGATCCTCAGGGTCACCCTGGGATCTGTGCTGCAAAGTTGTCATTTTCTGTCCAACAATTCCAAAAGTTGCTGGGTAAAACAAAGCCATTGGAGCCTGTGCAAGGAAGAAAACAAATATCAACCAAGGATACTGATCCATTAAACTCTGTCCTTCCCCAAACAAAACTGGAAGATTAGACCCTAGAAGCCAGACTGAGTAAGCATTCTCTTTTGGGAGTACTATTTCTTCATTGCAGAAGAGGTCAGAAAACTACAGAAATCATCCAATTGAATGAGTGATGTGATACCACAGAGAGAAATGTCAAAGCAAATGTAATTCGAGTGCCTAACAAGCTATTTTAAAATTCCTTAGTAAGAATAGTACCCCCTCTCTAAATAATAACTAATCATACAGTGGCTAATTAAAAAGATAGTCTTTACATCTATTATGATCTGTATACTATCAGGGACTTAAAAGCTGGTTTAGCTGACAGTCTAAACCAGCTGACATTCTGACCTCATGAGGTTTCAGACAAGTATATATTCTCTTAATCTGACTGAACCTGGATGGCTTTCTTTCTACCCATGGAAATACACAACTACACATTACCTGGAGTTTTTCATCTCCTAATCGAAACTGGTAAAGTAGGGCAGGGGAATCTGGATGTCGAATTTGAAACTCATGATCCTGAAGCCCAGAGATGTCCTGATTCCAGAAAAAGATGCTGTCAGTGAACCAGTAAAAGTGCATATAAACTCCTCAAATGACAAGCCTCTCTACTATCCAAATCTCACCTATAATAAAGCTGCTCTGCAACTTTCTACCATTTCTTTTTTTTCCCCCATTTCAACTGGAACTTAATAAAATAGTTCAGATATACCACCTTACTTTTAACATGTCTGAAATTTCTGTCATCTGCATTTTTATCTTTATTATCGGTAAATATTAATTCAAACAAGGATCCAAATCAATAAGCCAATTCCCTCAGTAACTGGGAAATGATACCCAGTCTTAGGTTTCTCAAAATTTTGTTGTTTAGAATTAGGATTGCTTGAAAAATGTCAGGGAAAATAAAAAGGCCTGAAACAGAAAGCATAAAAAGGTAGGAATTGACATACAGCAAAGATTACATGTTGACTATTCACAACACTAAGAAAGCACTTCAGTTGCTGCCATTTAATTAAATGTCTATACCTACATATGCATTACACCTAAAGGTTTACCTACATCTTGATCAAAGATCCTAAAGAGAGACAAATCTGCTAAATACTCACTCTTAAAAAAAAAAAACAGCTGTATTTTCCAGAGCCTGAGACACGTCCTAACAGCTCTGACCTTACCAAAACACTCTTAACTCCTTAAGAGCTTTAACTTTAAGGCTCTCTCAACTTGGGTTGAAAGGGTAGAATACTGCTATATATTTTTTTAAGATTTTATTTATTTGAGAGAGGTGGTGGGGGGGGGGCGGCACAGAGACAGCATGTTCACACACTCACGCATAAGCCGGGGAAGGGACAGAGAGAGGGAGAAGCAGGGAGCCCTATGCGGGGCTCAATCCCAGGACCATGGTATTATGACCTCAGCTGAAGGTAGACACTTAACCAACTGAGCCACCCAGGTGCCTCTCTTATATTTTTAACTGCTGTCTGTCTATCTATCTATCTATCTATCTATCTATATCTATCTATCTATCTATGATAGTCACACACACACACAGAGAGGCAGAGACACAGGCAGAGGGAGAAGTCACACACACACACACACACAGAGAGAGAGAGGCAGAGACACAGGCAGAGGGAGAAGTCACACACACACACACACACACACACACACACACACACAGAGAGAGAGAGAGAGAGGCAGAGACACAGGCAGAGGGAGAAGCAGGATCCATGCACCGGGAGCCCGACGTGGGATTCGATCCCGGGTCTCCAGGATCGCGCCCTGGGCCAAAGGCAGGTGCTAAACCGCTGCGCCACCCAGGGATCCCTTTAACTGCCTTTTGAACATCGTAAATTCTTCCTAGTAACAAAAATAATCAGCAATTTTGGTTTTGCTCCCACCTGATCTAAATGACAGAAAGTTTCTTTAAGATGCTGCAGAAGAAGACAATCCATTTTATTTGTTAGTTGGCATTCTCGGTAAGGGAATCCAGCTCGCTGCATGAGCCAGTAAAAACACCTTGACACGTCAGACCCCCCGTAGGCCAGACAGAGCCTAGAGTTAAAAGAGAAAAGAGGTGGGTAATCTGTTGATCAAGAAGGTGCAAAGGGCATTTCAAAAACTCAACTAGGCACAGTGAAACCTAACAAGTCTCAAAAGATGTTTATTTTAGGAATAAAGAATGAAAGGACAGGATGGAGAGATGGGAGAAATAGAACTCTAGCAAACCATCAGTGATGAGCACCTAGCAGCAGTCATGCTTTTGCAAAAAGTTTCCAAGAAAGAGAACAGCCTTAATGCAACTCATTTCTAAGTTACCATATTTACCATATCATAGTGGTTTGCCTGTCTATACTAATACATCGAGGTGACAAACAGTGACCCCATAAGACAGACTCACGGGAGAGAACTTTCAAGAGTATACCACCAACTAACTGAATGGTTCTATGATTTGCAAAGAGCACTGCTATATTATTTTAGAGGTAGGAGACCCGGGCCCAGTGTTTTCTCCATACTGTGAGACTCAATGGCATTAAATAATACATAACCAATGGATGAGCCAAATCAACTTACTATTTTAGAATTCACTGTAATTTGGGATGGGAGGCAACAGATCAACTTTTTGCATGGACTGCTTAGGTCTTCTTTTAAATGTTTCTATGCCCTGGATCCTGAACTACATATGTGAGGGACAGAAAGCACTACGGCATCCTGAAGAAGCCATCCTGGGAGCACAAAAATGCTGCAGAGATTCTGTATGCGTATTGCCTGAGTGTGCTTACCTTTGTTGGGCTTATCTCAGGAAGGACAAGCAGTAAATCTGCTCCTAAGTTACTTTATTACCTCTTATATCAGTGATGACATCATGAAGGGACCTGACCAGAACACTACTCATCACTCACTGAACAATTATGACAAAAGCAAATGCTCATAATGCTAGATAGAGATTTTGGACCTGAAAACCTATTTTCCCCTGCATGACTTGTGTAATTAAAGCTTTGCTGTGAGCATGATACGTATCTCTACATCAGACCACAGCAAGACACAGGGTTAATATATACACTGCCTCTGTGGGAAAGCACACAACAGAAGTTAGGATTTTCAGGAGCTCCTGTTATGTACTCATAACAGGAAGCATAAATAGTACTAACAGGAAGGATAAAATCAGTGGTTTATAGCCTTGCTAGAATTTGCACTTCCATAATCTTGGTTTCCTATGCAAACTCTGAATATATAATTCCTTATAATAATTTTCTTTTTAACTTCTGATGCTTTATAGCTGAACAGGCTGTGAGGGGAGAAAGCAGAGAATGCTACCTTCCAAGGTCCTTACCGAGTATTGCGATGAGAGACCCCATCCTCCACACAGCACACACTTGTCTTCTGGTCTCCAACATCTACAATACATGTACTGCTTAAACCACTTCCAAAGGTGGCACACACAGACTCCTGATGGACCACAATTCCTAAAACACAAAGGTAAAGGAGCAATCAGCTAGGGAGCAGTAAAGATCCTAAGACAAATCATCCATTAAAGTCTGGGAACATCTGGGCAATTGTCCAAGCATGGCTGATCCTCTTAGAATATGCATTTTAATAAGGCGGTATATTAGATTAACTTTGTCAGTAAAATAGATAAACAATCTCATTTCAAACAGATTTCTCAGGAATTATCAGACGTACCTGAAAAACCCATCTTCATTAGGATCATATTCACTAATTCTTTCACGTGCTGTTTATTATAGATATCAGGAATTAACAAGATACATCTATAATACTAAAGAGAAGAACAAAGAAAAAAGAAGAGAAAACCATTAATACTAAAGCCAGATCAAAATAAATGTCACTACACTTGTCTTCAGAGAGGATTTTCTCTAAAGGATGGAAGCAATGGTTAGAGGCCCAGAACAAAGCTCAAATCTCTATCTTTTGGGTTTAATGAAAAACAGGAAATGCTGAAGTTCCTTTATATTAAAAACTTGTGAAATGGTATCAAAACCCCAGATCTCAAGATACACTATAAGGTTGTAATAATCAAAATAGTGTGGTATTGGCACAAAAATACATAGATCAATGGAAGAGAATAGAGCCCAAAAATAAACCCACACTTATATGATCAATGAATCTTTGACAAAGGAGGCAAGAATAGCATTGGGAAAAAGATAGTGTCTTCAATAAATGGTTCTGGGAAAACTGGACAGCCTTATGCAAAAGAATGGAACTGGGCCACTTTCTTAAGTCCTGTTCAAAAAGAAACTCAAAATAGATTAAACACATAAACGTGAGATCTGAAACCTGATAAGGGGTTAATAGTTGAAATGTATAAAGAACTTATACAACTCAACAGCAGAAAAATAATCCAATTAAAAAATGGGCAGAGGGCATGAATAGACGTTTTTCCAATGAACATAGACAGATGGCCAACAGACACATGAAAAGATGCTCAACATCACTCATCATCAGGGAAATGCAAACCAGAACCACAATGAGATATCACCTAAAACCTGTCAAAATGACTAGTATCAAACAGACAAGAAATAGCAAGTGTTGGTGAGGATGTGGAGAAAAAGGAACCCTTGTACACTGTTGGTGGGAATGTAAATTGGTATAGCCACTACGGAGAACAGAATGGAGATTCCTAAAAAGTTAAAAATGGAAATACCACACAACCCAGTAATTCCACTACTAGTTATTACCCAAAGAAAAATAAAACAGTAATTTGAAATAATATACGCATTCCTATGTTCATTATAGCATTCTTTACAATAGCCAACATACAGAAGCAACGTAAGTATCCAATGATAAATGTGTGAAGATGTGGTACATACATACAATGGTATATTAGCCATAAAAAAGAATGAAATCTTGCCATTTGCAACGACATGGGTAGACCTAGAGGACCTTACACTAAGTGAAGTAAGTCAGAAAAAGATAAATACCATACGATTTCACTTATATGTGAAATCTTAAAAACAAAACAAAACAAAAAAAGCAGAAACAGACACACAAACATGGAGAATAAACTGGTGGTTGCTAGAGGGGGAAGGAGGGTGGGCAAAATGGGTAAGGAGGACTGGGAGAGATAAACCTCCAGTTATGGAATGAATAAGTCATGGAGATGAAAGACACAGCACAGGGAACATAGTCACTGGTACTATAATGGTACTGTCATGGCATAGTGACAGAATGGTGGCTATACTTGGGGTGAGACCAGCATTATGAATACGGTCGTCCAATCGCTATGCTATAAATCCGAAAGTAATGTAACAATGGTGTGTTCAACTATACTTCAACTGAAAAAGAAAAAAAAAAACACCTTGTGAAATTAAAAATAAGATAATAAGAACTGAAAAAGGTCCAGTGATAAGGCTCAAACATGACCAAGCTTGCTGGTTGCAGAGCAATAGATAGAGACACCAAAAAAAGAGAGTAAGAAAAAAGAGAAAGCATGAGAGGTGAAGTCAGTGAAGAAAGAAAGCTGTCCTCAACACCTTAAGGCTGACAAAATGCTCTAAGGACATTAGATTACAAACAACTCAGTATTAGGCACTTTTACTGATCAATATAACCTTTGTTTTTTTTTTTTTTTTAAGATTTTATTTATTTATTCATGAGAGACGGAGAGAGAGAGAGAGAGGCAAAGACACAGGCAGAGGGAGAAGCAGGGTCCATGCAGGGAGCCTGACGTGGGACTCGATCCCCGGTCTCCAAGATCAGGCCCTTGGCTGAAGGCGTCGCTAAACCACTGAGCCACCTGGGCTGCCCAAGAATCTTAAAGCCAATCCAAGTTAACTGGGAATTTAACCTCACCTTTAAATCTTTCAGTGGAATTTCTAAGTATTTCTGGATTGCATGAGACCATATTACTTCAATATCTGCCAGAACAGCTGTGAGAGAGCCCCCAGGTCCTGGGTGAATATTTAACTGACCTCTTCTGATAGGCCAGTGAATATTATAACAGTCCAATGGATTAACATATAAGGCCTAGAAAAGACAGGGGAGATGAATATATTGTTAAAACTTCTTCTGGGTGTTTTCTGGATTCACATTAAAAATCTCAGGCCATAGTTATGGTTAACATTTGCTGACTATTCTAAATGTTGAGAGTAGAGTATCTAACATCACACGAGCCTGTATGTGTATCTGGGCCTGAAAGGAAGATTATGAATTCTAGGAAACAACTAGAACTGGATGTCCCTACCTCTTCCCCAACCAAAAACTCAGGGTGATGAGATGTGTTGGTCCATTTATTTCCAGAACAGTGATCTAAAATTGCAGGTCGCATCTGCTTGTTGTAGGAACGTGCCTGAAATAAAATCACCAGAAAATTTTATGTAAGAAAAAAAGGAGGGGGAATGGGAGAAACCTAGTATGAGTCCTCTTTTCTCCTCTCTCATAGACTAGATATAGTTAGCAAAATTTAATCACAAATCCTAAATATTTGGCAAAATACTGACTGGTCACAAAAAGATACTCTTGGCCTTTTCCAAAATTTTGATTGTTCCCATAGTTTTAATACCTAGAGATTGTGATTCATAACCAATCCAAAATTATTACTGCACTCTGCTTAAAGCTGAATACACATTTACATATATGCCAACTCCTGTCCATTCCTAATAGTATTTTTCATCATATTAAAATGGCAAATGTAGTAAGCAAATTGCTTCCCTGGAATCCTGGAATTACACACTTATGACTCTCAAGTAAACTATAAATTTTTATCAATTTGCCATAAGAAATACCATCTTTTAAATTATTTGGCTTGTCCAAGCATTTGTGACACTGATTTGGGTATTCTGTAGGTGGTTATGAATGCTTTTTCCTTTTTTAAGGAAATCCCATCTTTTATTTGCTTAATGAAATCGAGAGAACACATGAATGGCACTTATGATAGAACAGCGGTTATGGAATAAATCTGAAAAAAGAGTTAAGACTGAACCTGTTCAGGGGACACGGGAATCCGTCTTGTACCATTTGACATCTTTTTAGACCATATTGCTTGATCCACCATTTTAAGGCCATTTTGTCTTTGTTCATTACTTTCTGGTTTCTGGGAAAAAAAAGTGAAAGATGAGCAGCAGAAAGGATTTAATGAAAAGAGAAAGCAATGTGTCAGACTACTCATTTAATCCAAGAGGAAATATCCCTCATCAACAAGTAGCAGCATTTCCTTAATCTTAGCCAAATATATCTTAAGAATTCAAAATAATCTTATTATTTATGAATAAAAAAGTCAAAAATAAACACCACAAACCAAGTATCTGTAAAAATCTATAGCCTCAAGTGAAGTTTAAGTGATAAAGTCATTCAGAGGACTAAGTACAGGATAGCTACTTAGTATTTACAAAGTATTTCAGAGACTTTTCCAAATATTGACATAATTCTCATACCTAAATTTTACTCTTGAAATTTAGGCCCTACAGTAGAACTGTGAGATCCAAAGATACAAATGGATTTAGACTCTCATACCCTCAAAGTTACACCTAGGCTTAGAGAAATGAGCTTAGGTAGTCTTCTAGTTATGCTTTAAAAAAAAAAAAAAAGTGGAACCCTAAAGCTTACTATCAGAAGTATAGAACCTACAGGTTCCTAAAATTACCTTTCACCTAAAACTTAAAAGTGGATTATGAAACAATATGCACACTTTAACATCTACCATGAAAAATTTTTCTGATAATTACCATCTCCAAGGTAAGATAAAGTAAATGCTAACTGCAAGGATATACATAGTCCTGCCTTTAAATTATAATTTGATCTAAGATTGTAAGAAGTGATTATAACAATTCAATTTGCTTATGGATTGAAAACACAAACTCAATATAAACTCTAAGTATCTGGAAGAGAAAAATATGGAGCAGTCAGTTGAGAGACCTTAATGCTTCATTTTAAGTGAGTGACAATTCTGTATTGCCCATTTAAAAATCACCTTCATCAATACCCAATTCATATTAATGGGCTAAAATAATTTTTATTTGCTTGTCATAATTATTTCTTTACAATCTTAAACTACTAGCTCAAATGAAAAATGTTCTTTGTACCCCTGAATGATGTTATTATTTTAAAATACATTAAACCCGTGAAGATATTAATTCAAGTTTACTGTGTATACCTGAATGTCTAAGCTGTCTCAAGGAAACAACATTGGGCTTTCTCTCCAGATCCTCCATTACTGACTTACATTTAGTCCTTCCCTTAGGAGCCAGTTGTCCTTGTATAGTGGCTGCCCTTGTTGTTTGTGTCTTCGTGCAATGACATGAGGAATGCTAGCAGGAAGTGTATCTGTGGCTCGGCCAATCCTTAAGGTTGTTGAACCTGGATGTATGACAACAATGAAGTTGCTCTGGATTTGCTGCCAATATAAAACAAAGGAATGTGACCTTAGTAAATAATATATAGGTAACAAGTTAAATAACATAAAGGTAACAGGCTAGACTAAGAAGTTAGTTTCGTGTAATAACTATCAGACTCACAGGTACCAAAATAATTCAGTTGAAGGTAGCTCTTTGAAAGGCATCCAATTATTGCTCTCTGCCTGAATGCAAATTCATTTCATATTTCTGTGCTCCCAGGATCTGACTCACAGTACATAGGTCGACACTTGTTTAAATGAATGAAACCGTAATTATCCAATGCAAGTTAACTTACAATTACTGGGCATTTCTGGGCCAGGTATTGGGGTACAATGGTGACCAAGACAAAATTCTGACCATGGGAGAACTCTCAGTTTACTAGGGGAAACAGACAAGGAATAAGTGTAGGGAATACGATGACTAGGGAAGTGCTAGCTAAATCTCCATTACCTAAAGATGCTTGTAAATAAAAAACTAGATTCTAAGCCTCCAGTACAAATATTCTGATTCAGAATTTCCAGGAAGGGAGCCTAGGAATCTGCAACTTTCAAAAGTTCTTGAGGTGATCAGTATGATCACTCAGGTTTGACAACCACTGGTTGAACAAGTTAGGGAAGAAATTCATGTAAGCAGAGAATTACTATTTTGTAATGCTGAAAAGTAAGGCTTTTTATACAGCAACCACTACTCAGTGTGTGCATAAACCACATTTCGGTTATCATTTTTAAAACATTTTACCTCTTCTTAGTTCTATGCTATTCACCTAATCTGGCAAAAGTTTGGTGTTAAAATGCCAGCGTTCACAATTCTATCTTCATAGGCCAGAAAACCTTGCTGCATTTTACAATCCATTCTTGAGAAATGGTGAACAAGAAATGACAAAGCAGCACGTCAGGACACGTGATTACTGTGACCTTTATTTTTAGATGGTAATTGTTTCAGATCTGTAATTCGCAAGGGAGCAAAACATAGAATCTCAATCAGTTGGGGAACCTTTGCCTCATAAATTCATTAAAGGACCCATGGTTTCAGTACAGAGCAGGGGAAGAAGGGACTCTGACAATTCCTGTGACAAGAGGATACCTCTGTGAAGAACCACCATTCCTGCACAACTCCTTAGCCAGCACCTACTCTGCTTTGCTCTTGAGCTACAGTTGGGTCTTCTTGCAGGTCTCCATTTAAAACATTTCCACAGCTTGCCCATAAGATAAAGTCCAGAACCTGTGAGATCAAGAACCTATTGTCCAGCCCTACTCAAGAACCACCTCCTTTCTGGTCTCTTTAATCTTCCCAATCTAGATCTCTCTTGATTTCTTAACTCATCACACTGTCTGTCTTCATACAGGTAACTCCCTTTGCCTGCCATATCCTTTCTCCCTCGTAAATCTTCTCCCTTCAGTTCTGAAGTTAAATATCATCAGACTAGGTTTACTTAACCCCCTGCAATATAGTTTTCATGTCATCTATCATTTTATAATTATTTACTGTCTGCCCTCCCAACTAACAAAAACCTTCACGTAAAAAGGAATCACTTCTTTCTTACTCAGTACTCTACGCCTAGTGCAAGGCACACAGGAGCTAAGAGTTATTTGTTGAATGCATCTCTTTCAAGTGGTTGGCATGATGTTAAACAGTACTTCCCAAGCTTTTTTGCACTATGGGAGACATTCGTCCAGTAGACTGGAGCAAAAAGATGAAGCTGCTTGCCATCAGGATACCTGTACTTCATTTACAGAACACAGACTACAGCACATTGACTGGGAAGTTCTGGGGTTAGTAATGGCAGTTTCCTGAAGTATATGGACAAATATTTTTAAATAATTTCATACCTATTTTAACATATTAGGAAACAACAAGCTAGTACACTCCACAAGTCATTTCCCAAATATTACTGCTTAAAAAAGACGGAGTAGGGGCACCTGGGTGGTCAGTTGGTTGAGAGGCTGCCTTTGGCTCAGGTTCTGTTCTCAGGGTTCTGGGAAGGAGCCACGCACATTGGGCTCCCTACTGAGTAGGGAGTTTGCTTCTCCCTTTCCCTCTCCCCCACTTGTGCTCTCATGCTCACTCTCTCACCTCTCTCTCAAATAAAATAAAAATATATAAAAAAAAATTAAAAAAAAAATAAAAAAATATAAAACTGAGTAAAACAGTTATCAAGAAAGTAATAGATATGAAAAAGCCACAGAGAACATGGAAAAACTAATGGGTGTGGTACAACTGACCGAAGTTAAAGGAAATGCTGCTATAGTGGTTAAGGGCCCAGGCTCTGGATTCACAGATTTGGCTTCAAATTCATACAGCACCACTTCCTTGCTCTGGATGAAGTTCTTACCTCATAGAGTTATTGTGACCATTAATTTAGTTACTCAAGTAGCTCAGAGTCTGGCTAGCTCTTCCAAAGTTCTCTGCTGCCTTTCAGAAGAGAGCAGACTCTGGCTCTAAGACTCTCACGATAGGCCCCCCTAAGCTCTCCAGTTTCACCTCTTGCTCCTTTTTTTTTTTTTTTTTTAAAAAGCAAACATTTTATTTATTTATTCATGAGACACAGAGAGAGAGGCAGAGACACAGGCAGAGGGAGAAGCAGGCTCCATGCAGGGAGCCCCTGGTGGGACTTGACCCCGGGTCTCCAGGATCAGGCCCTAGGCTGAAAGCAGGCGCTCAACCGCTGAGCCACCGTTGGGTCCCAATCTTGCTCCTCCTTCTTCCTCACTTCCAGACATCATGATCACCAATACTTCATGCCCTCTCCTGGCCCAGGTCTGTCCCTTCCATGTTGTCCTCCTTCCCGGAGATCCCCCCTGGCTAGCTCCCAATCATTCTTAGGTCTTGGTGCAGAGGCCACTTCCTGTTAGGCGCTCCCAGGCCATCAGGGTCAGGGGAGGTACCTGCCGTGTGTGCCCAATACCTCCCTATGGCCTTCTGCATTAGCCCATCCCCACGATGCCCTCATACCTGCTGCCCCATACCCAACGGTGAGCTCTCCCACTCACAGAATGGGGGAGAATCCTAGTGGGCGGGAAGGCAAGGCCCTTACAGACCACCCAGTGTGCTCCCTCAACTAGATGGGTGGGGAACACCCCTGGGGGTTTCCCAGGAGCGGGCACCCAGCCATGTATCCTACAGGTGCCAGGCCAGTCGGGTGTTATCCTCAGCCCATCCCCCCGTTAAGAAGCCGTGTCGGAGACGTGCAACATGAAATCCCGAGCATTATCAATGCCTCCTTGCTTTTTCCTGTGAATCTGCCCATTTTGTTTCTTACGGGAACGTTGTTTTCTGTTTTGTTTTTTTTTTTCCACCGATCCCTAAGGATACCCAGACACCCAGGTCCTTTGCCTGCCTGCAACTGTAAGTAACTCTGGCGCGGACACACAAACTCTTCACGTCTATTCAGACGGTCGTTTGCCTCTCTCCCCGGCGTCAGGCGTGAACTGGACCCCACCACCTGCGGCTCCCTTCACGAAGGAAACGGTGCCTGCCCGGTGCCGGACTCCACCTGCGGAGTGCGGGTCACCGACAGCCCACGGCAGCTTGGAAAGTTCCCGAAGCCCAGTCCCCGTCCTGCCGCCGGCGGGCGTGACGAGCACCGCCGGGCACCAGCCGCCAGAGCCCGGGGACCGGAAGCCCCGCGTCGCCGCCGCCGCTGCCCCCCCCCCCCCCGGCCGGAAGGCCCTCACGAGACCCGCCCCCGGCGCCGCGCCTCACCTCCTGCAGCGACTCCGGCACCAGCGCGGGCACGATGGGGCGTTTCACGCCGCGTTGCTCCTTCTCCTTCTCCCCGCCCTTCTCCTTCCCGTTCTCCGCGTCCCCCTTCTCCGCCTGGGTCATCGCGGCCACCGACGCCCACACCCCGCCTCAGGGACCCGCGGCGCCCGCCGGAGCTGGAGAGCGGCTGCGCAGGCGCAGCTTCCCCGCCGGCCGCCCGGCAACCAAGATGGCCGCCGGGCTGCCGCCGCAGAGGCTTCCGGGAAGGCGGAGGGGCGGGGGCGGGGGCGGGGCGGGGCTGTCGGGGCGGGTGGTGGTGGTGGCGGTGGCGGTGGGGTTGGTCCCGGCGGTAGCGTGCTCGCAGCCGTTCGTTCGTTTTGAGCGTTTACGGGAGAGAAGCCGCTTCCTGGCGCCGCCCCGCGCCGCGCCGCGGCCTGCCGCTCCCTGGATTCCCAGAACCCACACGTCCTCCTGGCTGTCATGCTGCGCTGGTGATGCTCAGTCCCGCCGCGGACGTCAGGGCGCTCTTGAGCCCGGGCGCCTCTCTTCACGGCGCCTGGAGGACTTTATCCGGTTTCATGGCTTTACATAGAGAACTCCGGGGTGTGTAATTCCAGTCTGGAAGTGCCCCAGAGATCTAGACCGATAACCAGGGGCCTGTTCGGTGTCTCCATTTGGATGTCCACAGAGCACTGCAAACTCAAATCCGTCCAAACTGCGACTCTTGAAACCCGCCCCCCACCCCACTACCATTTTACCATCTCCGTGAATACCACTTGGAAGCTTCGGTTGTCCAGTCCATCACTAAATCCTGCAGTCGCTCAGGTGTATCTTGAACCCACTTCTTCATTCCTACTAACTATCTAGTCCAAACTACTATCATCTCACCTGGACTGCAACAGCCTCTTGACCTAACTTGCAGCTTTCCTCTTGTCCTTCTGCAAGTTCCCCAAATAATCCAGTTTTAAAATATGTAGTTAAGACAATCAGTACTACATACTCAGCTTTCCAGTTAATACCACCAATGCATTATCTCAGAAATTAAACCCGGAACAGAATTTAACCATTAGCCTATTAAGCCAGTCTTAATCCAGTTCCTGCTGCATCTCTCAGTTGGCGTCCTCTCTCTCTCCTTCTGTTGGCTTTTCCAGCTACACTTGCTTCCTTTCAGTTTCTCAGATATGCCAGGCCCTTCTCATCGTTGAGCCATCCATCACTCACGTTGTTGGCTTTGCCTTGGGTGCTTCTCCCTCAGCTGGCTCATTCTCGTCCTGTCTCACCTCAAATGTCACCTAAGTCTCACTTCCTTTAAAGAAGTCTGTACTTGGCTGCTGTTTTCCCACACTAGAAAGTAAGCTCCATGAGGAGGAGCGTTGTCTTAATTGCCACTGTTATTTTCAGCACATGGTAGGTGCCCACTAAGCATTTGTGGAGTAAATACTGCTGAATGAAGAATCCCTTGAGGTAGACATGTAATCCCCACTTGGTAAAGAGTACAGTGGGAGAGAATGACATAATTTAGTCAAGAGCATAAGCTATTGAGTAGCAAAGACAAGATTTGAACACAAATGACTCAAGACTACTTCCTGCCCTGCAGCGGTCTACCTACTGCATGCTCGGAGTGGGAGAGCTAAATATCCAATGCAGTTGGGATTATAGGATAATTTCTAAAGAAGGGTCCTGCAGAGGAGTTAGGTGAAGGGGCAGGGGGGCAGGTATGAATCACATGCACAGAAAAGCCACTGCTTCCTGAGACTCTGCCTTTTTTTCTTCACTCGAGCATTAGATGGAAATTTGATAGAATGACTCTGCCATTCACTAGCCATGTAATCTGAGACATCACAACTTTGCTGAGTTTTCACATGTTATCTATTTAATGCAAGTATCATCTACCTATTGTAGTGTGTGAGAATTAACAAAATATAAAAGATAAAATGTCTGACACATACTTGGGTGATCAATAAACTGTCTCTATTATCCTTAATGTTAAAATTGTGTTGTAATTGCCCCTTTCCTTATTTGAAAATCAGTATCTTGTGCCACTACATCCCCATTTCTTGGCAAATAGGGTTGAGTATTTCCAAATATATATAAATACTCTTACCAGGAGTCCCTGGGTGGTTTAAGTTGGTTAAGCATCTGCCTTTGCTTCACGTCATGATCCCAGGGTTTTGAGGTTGAGCCCCATGTCAGGCTCTCTACTCAATGGAGAGTCTGCTTCTCCCTCTGCCCCCGCGCAGCCCCCCCCCCCCCCCGTCATGCATGGGCACATGCTCTCACTAAAATAAAATCTTTTAAAAAAAATGCTTTTACCTGAACACTTTGTTTAAAAGACTGTTAAACACAAAGCAGTATGATTCATTTTTCCAACAGATATTTCAGTGCCTACATGTAGTTACTGTTCAAAACACTGGGGTAAAAAAAGATGAAATCCCTAATCTCACAGAACTTCCATTCTAGTGAAAGAATAGGAGAGTTGCCAGCATTCATGGGGGTTGAAAGCCAACACGTAATATCCTAACCAATAGTTTAGAATTCAGATTTGTTAAAATAGTACAGAAGTCTATGATTTTAAAGACTACCTAGTTAATCTTCATTCTTGTAGCTCAGGCTTCTTGGTTATGACTTTATAAATACTCTGATAATTATATTTCATAGCAAATCTGATACTCCATATAATGTTTCAAGATAAAATTGTATGCATACCACTGAAATAAATACAATGTGATTTATTTATGAGAACAAATTAACAATGAATAGTATTTCAGAAGTTAAGAAGGTGACACTAATTGTACTGAATACACAATCTTTTATTTTTCTTCAAATTTGGAGTTTAATTATACAAAGATGTGAAGTCAAGTTTTGTAACCTAAAAATATTTACTTATTAAAACTATATTAATACTTTCATAAACTATACAAAAAAGATAATGAGACAAACATGTGCATTTATAGAACTGCATGTCAGTCATGCCAGATCCCTGGGGAGGGAATTCCCAGCACGACCTCATCCGTCTGTGAAGGCACAGAGCAATCCTTGTTTGGGCATACACATTCAATTACTTGTCCAGTATGGTCTGCACTCTACTTCTTGATGGTTTCCTTCTGTTATGAATGTGCATGTCCAGTTGTCTGCTTCTTAGAGCAGACATTTACCTAAAAGAAAGCGTTATAACAATCAGTTACTAGTTACTAATTTGGATCTGCACAAAAAAATCTAATCATTTTTAAGCCTTTTTTTCAAAAGACTGATAATAAAATTCAACAAATTTTTCAAGGGTTAAGATAAAACATTTTTCCAAATAAGATGCCTGAGTAATTACAAAATATTGGGCAACTTCTGTTTCCTAAAGAAAACTTCCCTAAGGAGGTATTTTCAAAATGAAATCTCTGCAGAGTAATTTCAGATTTCAAGTTACCTTCCTCATCCACCAGCCATTGGAGGAGGACTAGGGCCACGTAGATGATTAATTCGACCCATTCTTCTGGGAGGGTTTCCTGGTGGCCTAATAAAAGAAAAATTTCTACTGTTTAGTAGACATCAAGTGGTTCCTTTCAAACACTCAAATAGATCCTTTTATTTTAAAATAAGAAGTACCAATTAGGTCAGGAGTTGAGAAAATTCAAATACTTATAGGGACCAGACACTTAATGCACATGAGAAAAGGAGTCAAGCAAAGACTGTGATGACCTAAATAGTACTTCCTATAAATACATGCCTAACTGAAACCCAGCTCCATAGAAATGCAAGCCCAACCCTGTGCTGCTTGATCTTCTCTAGTTTTCTTTAGCGGTAGAAATCCAGACTTTAAAATGGACTCTTTAGATTTAATGGTTGTCATCAGTTTTCATCCTCTAATTTAGACTTTTCCCACAGGATAGTTCATACACAATTTAGCTTTGTCAAATTGACTCTAATTATCAAATCAGAGGCAGCCTGACATAACTTATAGTAATGCATTAATTTTCTGAAATAGAATTTAAACCTTTTATTTCTGTGAGCCAATATCTATAATAGCTAATTTAATTAAAATTACAGAGTGGTAAAAATACCAATTATCAATTTAAAAAGCTATACCCTCTTCCATCATCATATCTGGAATCAGAGGAGTTTCCATAGCCTCTTCTCTTTTTCACATCTTGCTGAAGCAGAGTTTTAAAACTGAAACAAAGGGCAAAAAACAACATAAATACCACTTTCAACATTGTAAAATGTACCTCCACAGTTTCAGTTATATCTACGAAAAGAGTACTAAACCAACTTAGTTCCAACCTCATGTTTCTCAAAGCCAGCTGGACAACACCATGTAGCTCATGTCTACACATGTGCTATGTTCTGGGCCAAAGCCACCATTGCCTGTCTTTCTTACATGCTAGTAACTCACCTTAAGAGAGTCTAGGCACTAGAAGTGAGTGAAACCAGAGCCATCCCCAACTTCCTTCCTGTACTCTATATCAGCTGTCAGAGCTTAGTCTTTTTTTTTTTTTTTTTTAAACAGCACTGCACATTCATTTCCTTCACATTTCCCCTGCGAACAGCCTACCTAATGTTACCTTGCTGTGGGAGGAGCCTAGGGTGGTGTGCCAGAGGCAAAGGGCTTCTGGGAATTCATCTGATTGGAATCTTTTTTAGTTGTGGAGGGGGAAGAATTTAAGTTAAAACAATATTTTAAGTAAATAAGGAGTAGGTGAAATGTGTAAAACTTTAAGGAAGTTTTGCACTGGCAACTTAAGGACCTTCTGTCCCACTGTATTTTTATATAAAACCATCTCTTCGATTTTTTTTAACCCCTTCTAACTTATGTTACACGCAGCCATGAGATTAATCTTCTTAAATCACAGCAACAATTCAATTAAGTATAAAGATCATAGTCTGCTATTCAAACTTCTCTGCCATCTTTCCTGTGTTTCTTCCACCTGGAGTAACTTCCTCTGATGGCCACCTCCCACAATCATGCCAGCCCAACACCCTTTAATATGAATTAAAGTCAAAGAAGGAAGAAGCAGTCTCCCACATCTCTGCATCCCTGCAGTTCTCTGCCATGTCACATTCAAATATATATATTCAAACTTAGCATGCTTGTTCATTGCTTGTTCATAGCTGATGAATAATCTTCACAAAAAAAAAACAGCATGGAAAAGGACAAAAATGCATTTAAGAACTGCTTGAAATGTTTTTTTTTTTTATCAAGATCTAATTCCCCTTGTTTCTTGTATAATATGGAGTAA